TTTTTTGGGATGCATACGGGTGGGCGTGAACACATTGTAAGTCTAAGAGAAGACGCCATTGAGTTGTGAAATGAGTATGCCAGCTGGCTAAAAGGTACGTGTATAAATACTTACATGGATTTGAATCTTATGCCAGATGGTGCGAAGATGAGCTGAGAGGAATAGTGGGATGAGTGGTATCCTGAGGCTGGTGAGGAAGTTAGAGCATTATCATGTTTAGAAATGAATACAAGGTGAAGGGTAGGAACGAAATGGAAATATGAACGTAGCGTTATGTATACATGGGTAGCCAGCCGGACGTTTTGGAGTTTGTGGCGTATAAAAGATGTACACTAGCACTCAGCCTTAGTGCAGCAGTACTCGCAGTAGACTGAATGGGTAGTAGAAGTGGCAGCCAATGTCCTTGAGCACGAGGAAGACTGTGTCTGGAGGACCTGTCACAGGAGCAAACACTTTAGATAAGTACTAGGAAGACCAAATACTAGATGGAATAGTCGTTCCTTCTAATTTTGATACCAGTGCCTGTCCATCGAGCTTCACGAGCATGTCGATTCTTGTCCTCCATGATATGATCGATGCAAGAGAGTCAACAAGAGAGTATGAAGGGCGCCAGCGGACAAAATTCACAGCGGTCCACGCGCGAGCCCTGGTTGAGTTTTACTCCCGGGTTAATTGGGTTCGAACCCCAGCCCTCCACACTGTTGGACTACATGTCGACACCAGCAGCTTTCCCACCACTCACCCCAAGAGGTGTGCGATCGAGTAGTTCAAGACACTAACCTGTCGTAACTTGGGTACCCCCTACGCCTACCGTGACAGCGTGATGACAGCGTTACTGATCATGTAATTTAGCCATATTAGGTAGTCGTTCGTCGTACAATGTCAAGTCAAAATGAATCAATTCAACTATTGCAAAGCAAAACAGACAGCTGCAGCGTGAAAACGAGTACGTATGCGACTGGAATAGGTGCGTAAAGTAAGTAATCACGAATGTCCAGATGATGTATTAGAATAATGTGAATGATGATTTGATCCGTAATGCATCGTTTGATAGGAATCGTCCTCGAAGTCCGTGATGTATGCAGTTTTGTCGTCGTTATTACTTGAAGCAAACCATGAGTCGTAACGTGTAAATTGATGAGTCGTAGAATACATAATGAATGAGGTTTAAGAGAGAGAGATGCGAGTCATTGACGAGACACGTTGAATCGATATTGATGTGTCGTATTGATATAATCAGTGATCACTCACGTGTTCTCGAAAATCACATCCAAGATCTGACATTTAGCAGGTACCGTCTTTACATGCTCGTGTTTCATTAAGATAACTATCTAAACCTATTCTACAGTAGTAAAAACACCCCCTTTACAGTACTCGCCTAACAATTTTACGATGATTTGAGGCTGGGCGAGGAACTTAAAATGTGTTGCTCGTAACTTCATGTGGCTATGTATTAATGTTTTTTTGCTTCTAATGTTGAGCTCTGTGTTCGGGATTTTGCGAACGCACACCTCTTGACTCACCCCACACGCTTCACATGCAATGACGTCATCATGGACCGGTGATGTCATGTGACATTAGCATGACTCCACCCAGCACTATTGGGAGCTTAGTCAACCCAAGTGTTGGAACCAAGTCCTGGGGACTTGCTCCCCTGGTGGTAGAGGCCTTATCAGCTTCGGTCGGGAGGATGGCCTGAAGTTAAATAATTAATACCACACCACGGGCAGTTTGCAAGTTCAGTCGGCACCACCGTTCACACCTTTCGCAATTTTGTGTCAAGATATGCCCTTATATAGGAATTTCCCACGTAAGCCGAGTTTCCTGCGCAACATAAGCTGCTGGCACCTGAAGATGCCAGTGCAATATAAGCCGTAGAACACGCAGTCATAGGGGCCTGAGGGTCACACCAAGAATATTGCTGAAGGATAACACTGGTCAGGCTATGCTGTCATATTCATGTATGATATAACTAGTACTGTAGTTATGTAGTCATGCATGTTTGTACTGTAATGAGAATCATAGATAGACCATGCATGCCACCATGCATGATGTGTAGAAATGAGAATCACAGATAGCAGACCATGCATGGTAGCATGCATGACTGCCACTGCGGCGGTCAACCTACCATACCATCATGCATGGCTCACGTGGATCGGCACAATTGTTCTCCCACTGTTTTATGCATGGTATCATGCATGGGGTGCTAGTACTAGTATTACTACTACCGCCACCTTACTATGCATGATATCGTGCATGACCCTGATACCATGCATGGTTACTGTACTTCAAGTTTTTCCTGCCCGGTTATGCGTGGCATCATGCATGGCCTACTAATCATGCATGATCGTCCGAATCTGCTGTATGTATATATGTAACACTACCACAAGACTTGTTTACTTAATTCCCCCATGTCTTACTACTGTCATCCTGCTATTACTAGCCCGTTATTGAACATTTACCTTCGTATGCGCGTGATAGCGACTCTCTCAAAAAGCTAGTAAGTTCCCCCATTCACAACTCGGATGCTACAAGATATGAATATATTGCTCAAGATTACATTACGAATATGTTTGCTACGAAGATACGGGTATGGGGATTATCAAGATGCGTCACTAATCACTTTCAAGAAGACAAGAATAAGTAAAACGAAGAGTCAGATACCTGTGCACTAAGCCTGGGCCGTGGAAATAGCAGCCACCTTTTTTTTCCTAAACCAACGGTCAGTGGCCATTATTTCCGATGAAGCGTACGCAGTACTTAGCAATAGGCTCTCCACCTGCTTCCAGTCCGTGTTTACGGACCTTTTTTCCCCCCACGGTGGCCGTATTTTCCTTCTCCCGCATTTCGCTGAGGGCATTAGCGCCAATGGCATTAGCGGTTTCGTTGCGAGTAGATGGTTTCGGTGGACGTCTGGACTTGCGAGTAGTGGGTTCGGGCTGGCTGGTAGAAGCTGCGCGTTTAGCTTTACCACCTGCTGCCTTCTGAGGAAGGCCTGCTGGAACCGAGGGAGGATCGCCTGTGGGCACGGGTGGCAGTGGTGGTAAGGTGACCGAAGGAGACGGAGTGGGAACGGGTGGCAGCGGTGGTAAACCGTCTGAAACAGACGGTGTGGAACAGGTGGCAGCGGTGGTAGGCCGTCTGAAACAGACGGAGTGGGAATAGGTGACAGCGGTGGTAAGCCGTCTGAAAGAGACGGTGTGGGAATAGGTGACAGTGGTGGTGAGCCGTCTGAAGAAGACGAAGGAGAATTGTCGGTGGCAGGTGGTGACGGTGGTAAAGCATGGCTCAGATGGCCACTGGATTGCTGGAGGTAGCTCGCAGGCTGGGGGAAGTTTGAAGGCTGGTAGTTCGAAGGCTGGGGATAGCCCATAGGCTGGGGGTAGGGGTAGCTAGGGACTGGGTTGAAATGGTTGAAACTGTTGAAATTTTGAAGCGGATCATAGATTGGTGGAGGGGCGAAAGTCCACAATTGAGGATTGCTGAGCAGTTGACCGAGATCCGCAGAGTGACCATCATTGCTGAAGTTGGTAGAGTTGGCGAAGTATGATGAGTTGGCATCATGCATGGCGAGATTTGCCTGACCCTCAGGCTGCTGGAGGCCATGCATGTTGATGGGTTGCTGGAGGCCATGCATGTTGATGGGCTGCAATGAGTCATGCATGGTGTCAGGCTTCTGAGTCGGATTGTCATGCATGGGCATAGCATAGTTAGGCGAATAAATATCGAGAATCTGCTCTTGACGTTCCTCCCTCCCGTCCAAAACATTCCCCTCACTCTGCGACACCTCTATTTCCTCCTCCGGCTCATCTGTGAAAGGGTCAGCATCTACTTCGTCTTGATCTTCAAGGTCCGTCTGGTCTCCATCCCCGGCCTCTCCGTTGTCCGCAGCTACCGCTCTTTTGGCATCGCCTTTCATCTCAGGTTCGGGGGAGGAATAGCCTACATCATTGTCGCGTAAGTGCAATGCCCTTTTGACAGTAACGATTAACTTACCTTGTACACCTTGAAGGAATTTCAGATACGTTCCAAGAAAGTGTTCCTTGAAGTCAGGCAATAATTGCGGGGCTGAATGTCCCAGCTTGGTGGTACCGACGTCAACCCTGCTACTAGTAAGCGCTCCATTTGTTCACAAGACATTCACAAACTTACGATGCGACAGAGATTTTGTTGTTGTTCGAGGGATCTGGCCCACCCATTAACACCAAGAACGAAAACCCAGTTTGGTGCTCGAGGTACGTGAGGATTGTGTTGAAGATAGCAGGTAAGTTTTCCTGTGCTCTGTTTGAATGACATGTTGCTCAACAAACAAATCAAAAAAAATAGTCGAGAAGAACGTACTCAAGCATATCCTCGGTGGTTGGTGATTGCTCCTCTTCATCTTCGTCCTCCAGAGCCTCGGCGTCTTCATCATCTGCATCAGTATTCGCCTTCCTCGATTTCCTTTGCTTTCATCATCTGGCCTTGACGTCCGCAATAATAGTCTCATCGGCTTCTCGCTCCCAACATTGACGTGTGACCTCTCGTACAATCGTTAGTCTTTCACCTCTCTGTTGTGGAGCCACGTTCGCTAACTGCAGCTTCGACAGTTGGACGGATATTGGTTTTATAATATAGTCGGGAGTACATTTCGGCCTCGCTCAGAGCTCTTGCACCACGAGGCTGGAGGAGGTCCTTGAGTAAACGAGTGGCCCGTGTGGAAGATTGCGCCACTCTGCCTTTGCGAGATGCGGAATTACCCGAATGCCACGACATCCAGGTGCGCAGTTGCTTCATTTACTTTTCGGTTAAGATCTCAAGCTCACAATTAACTAACGACATCACCTTCTGACGCCTCTTTACTGCCTTCCCCTTTGCTGCCGATTGTACGGCATTCAGACCATCCTCATCGGGAAGTTCTGGCCAGAGCTCTTTATATATGGGCCATTGCTGCTCCCATTGCTCATAGATGGGGGGCCAGAACTTTGCATAGCTAGATTTAGTCGAGCACTTTTGATACCCGGGAAGCTGTGCCGTTAACCACTCCTTCTGCTCCTTAGATGTCCATTCACTAGCAACCATCTGTGAGATATATGTTAGGCAATTGTGTGAAAAATTGATCGGCCCGCGCACCTTTCGCTCTCTTTGAATTTCGTGATGGGGATTTAACGTTTTGACGCCTGAGTGCAAAAATAACAAAATGAAAATTTTACAGCATCAATACAGCTCCATCAAGCCACAAGGCAATTGCCGAATGACATGAACACACGGCAGCACACGGCACGCTTGAGTCTATTAACCTGAATCTCATTGATGCGGTCACCCAATCTACACGTAGTACAGCTATCAACCTGTATCACTACATAATAATGAAATCGGATGTCAACTGATACCTAAGAAATCCTCGACTATGTGCAGATGTGATGTCATCATCTTCAAAAACACGCAAGAGAATGTCTTCAAGAAATAGTATGACTTGCCGGCACTGCATACCATCATCTCCACTTCTTGTAACTGCTTCTTCGGCCTCTTGAGCGATATCAAGTGCATCCAGAATAGGCCGCCGTGAGTCTTCGGAACGAGTGCTACCCGTATACTGCAACACCAGGTCATCCAAGAACTTATGGGTGGACCCATTGACAAGCCTATGGAATTTAATCTGCGGTTCAGATCTAAAGGTTTGTTGTCAAAGTGAGTTTGAAATGATATGGCGATTGAGTACATACAATCTAGTAGTGAGGTCGCTGGCTCCTGTATCGCCGCTGTCTCCTGTATCGTTTGACTCGGAGTTCTGAAGGGTTGTGCGTAGATACCTTGGATGCTGCGGATGCTTCGATGTACTATCATGATACTTTAATTTCATCTTTTTCAAGATGGCGACTTTGTTTCTGTTGGAGGATGCAATGAACACTAGCGACTGCGACTCGAAAGAACATGAACGTACCTCTCATAATACACCTTTCTGTATCCCTTAGCAGCTTCTTGGCGTTCTTTGTTGGACTTGTGCAGTTTTTTCCGAGCCATGGTAGGAGTGTGAAAGAGGTGTTGAATGTCGAGACTGAGAGAGAGAGAAAGACTAGTAAGTAGTACGAATGATGCGTGATCACATCCGAGTCGCTAAGTTACCTAATTCGAGTTTGAATGCCTGTTCGTTGTATGCACTGCAAGACTCAAGAATACATGCTCAGCAACATTTTTTCATGCAACATACCAAGATAAACGACTGTATTCATGAAATAAACAGAGTCTGATGCAGGACAAGGCCAGCATTACATGGTGGTAGGCGTGTTGTATGTTTTACCTGCCGCAGAATACTTTCTTAGGATTTATTTATCAGTGCCGCGTTCGTTCAACTACTGGCCTTCCCTTCACTCGTATGTTCGATCAAGAGAACCAATTCAGTATTGCCGTGACTCGGATGATACACACTATGAACAACTACTTGACTTGTATATACAGTATATCACGCCCCCAAGTACTGACAATTATTGCGTTCAATGGCTGCATGGATCCGTGCAACGCCTACTTCAACTGACGGACAGCGGCTATGGATAGCACCACTGACCCCCGTGACTTGGGGAGAAGTGTCTTCCCTGTTGGTTGATTGTTAAGTGCGTAAGATAGAGCCAAAAAAAAGGCGTACCAAGTGGCCAAAACTCCAACACGTTTGCCTTTAATCACGCAGTAGAAGGGCCCTTCAGCAGACAGATCCGGAATCTCGTATGGGAACCCTTTATACGAAACTGATCTGGGCGGAAGCCCAACTAAGTCTGCGTTGGTCCCAACTAAGTCTGCATTGTTGCAGAGCGAGAGTTTCGCGATGGCTTCAGCATACTGCCGATATCGGGTGCCAGTGTGGTGGAGGAGAGCGGTGGAGTGGTGGTGGAGGCTGGAGTAGCCTCAGCTCCCTCATCAGCATTGTCTTCAACATCACAATCGGCTGTGTGATCTTTCTGTCCAGGGTGAACGGCTGCTGACGGAATGGTCTGGCCACCATCTGCAATTGCTTGGATGATGGTAACGAGTGCATGGGCAGTGACAGAACTCATGTTAAGATTCATGAGTGCTGTCACAAGAGCATCTAGAGAGAGTCAGTGCACATTTTAAAAAAAATATCATAAACTTACCGACTGCGTGACTAGAAGACACCGAGCCTTGGGTTGTTTGATGTCATCTAGTAAAGTAATGTTCGTGTTCGGGTTGAAGTGGAGTGATGGGAGAAAGACACTTACCGTCTGGCAGCTTATTTATGGTAGTACCATGGAGGCTCGCGACTGATTCTGGGTGGGAGAGGAAGGCGATAGATTCATCGCCCACAACGTAATAGTCATGGTGTATGCAAGTGTAATACTAGGTGAGTCTCAGGAAGGCTTGGCGGATGCGTCTAAATTCAACAGATACAAACAAACACTTCTTTGATTCACCACTGCAAGATCCTTGGATGTCGGGTGATGCAATTGATAAGGCGTGTCTCAAATTTATTCGCTGTGATGAATTCATTCGTTTTTTCATTCGTTTTTTACTGTCTGCGTTCACAATGGGCAAGAAAAAAACAGAAGTTAGTGCGTCATACTGCTGAGCAGCTTGCAGACACGCCTTCAGCCAACATCCACACGGCCTCCATGTACACATTCCAATCTGGCAAGCCCTTAGTACGCACGGAGTCCCTGGTTGGCGCCCATGTTGCTCCCACAACTGTCCCCCCTATGACTCTTCTCCGTAATGAGGATTCACCACCAGCATCTAACCAATGGCAAATATACCAAGCTGGCTCTTTCCTCGACTATATGCCGATTCCTGACGAGTTTCGCGTCGAGACTGAGACTTCGAAGAGGAAACGCACAGCCGGGGTAAGTTTGTTCTTTATTCTCAACATTTTGCTTATCCTGTACCTACCAGGATCACCCCCTTGCAGCATGGCAGCCGGAATGCCCCACATTTTTGGACGAGATGATTCGCCTGGAAGGCCGCAGAGATTACGCCGAGGATTCTGTCTGTCGACACTGTCAAGAACATGCCCCAACCATCCGATGCGCAGATTGCTTCTTACAGGAACTCTACTGCCCTTCGTGTACTGTGGAACGGCACCGATGTCTGCCCTTACATCGTCTTCAGGTAATGTGATTCCCAAGATCTATACTTTAGGATCCGCTGACATCCGGTATTTACTATTATGCAGCGCTGGAATGGTAACTACTCTTCGAACGAATCACCCTCAAGTCATTGGGGTTACGCATTCAGCTGGGGCACCGTATCGGAGACACGTGCTGCAACCCTCACCGTGCGTTCAATGACGACTTCATAATAATCGACTCGACTGGAATACATGAAGTGGGACTGGATTTCTGTGCTTGTGGGACCATGCAAACACACGTTAAGCAACTGCTATGCTCTCGACTCTTTCCAGCAACCGTTACTGACCCCAAAACTGCGGCTACTTTCGGCGTGCTCGAACAGTATCACTTACTGTCTTTTGAGTCTAAAGCCTCCGCGTTTGAGTTCTATCAAGCCCTCGCGCGCTTATCCAACAATATGGGCATGGATCCGCCAAAGGTATTTTATTTACTTATTGCGAAGCACTGTGATAACAAGAACTACAGGACCGTTATCCTACATTCTTGCGAGTAGTGCACGAATGGCGAATCCTCAAGTTGCTCAAACGTTTCGCTCGGGGACACTGTCCGGATGGCGTCGTGACAACAGAGCCTGGACAGTGCGCAGTGCTCTGCCCTGCCTGTCCGCACCCCGGAAAAAACCTGCCGGAGAACTGGGAGAACGCCTCGCTTGATAAGCGGTAAGTTCCATATTGGTTCAAAATTCTTTACCTTCTAATCCAAACACAGATGGCTGTATGCTTTATTCGTTGGCATCGATGCCAACTTCCGTCTGAAGCGGAAGTTGGTATCAAGTGATATTGTTGATCCTGGAGTCAGTAAGGGATGGTCGTATTTTGTGGAGGAGAAGGCGTACAAATCATATCTAGAAGACAATAAAGACCGGAACCAGGAGGTAAGTCTTTTTTGGTCAACGATTGTTGCAAACAACTCAGTCACCGATAGCGCAGTACATGCGCCAGTCACAACGCTGTGAATATGGCCGATACAAAGAAGTCTAGAGGCCTTGCCGCTACAGGTGTTGGGACGGTGGATTGTGCCAGGCACAATATGAAACTTCGCAACGCAGTTGGTGACTTACAGAAGGGCGAGAAGTATGTATTCCCCATTGTTTATTTTGTCACGCTACCGCCTTACAACACTGCACAGGTATATTAATATGGATTACCTATTTTTTTCGGCAATGAAACACCACGACGTCATCGTTCTCAACATATCATACGATATCGCGTGTCAATGGTCCAAGCATCTGTGGTCGCGGATGTCAAAGCTTCCTTCCGCGTTTCATCTGGATCACGACAACAAACAGGTCAACTTTCTTATTCCAAAATTCCATCTACCGGCCCACATCGAGCCATGCCAGATTGATTTTTCTTTTAATTTCTCTCGGCATGTTGGTCGTACTGATGGCGAAGCTCCGGAACGCGGGTGGGCTAATATTAACCCGATCGCATCAAGCACCAAGGAGATGGGCCCAGGCTCTCGGCGTGATACACTCGATGACCATTTCGGTGATTGGAATTGGAAGCGTGTTGTCCAGCTTGGTAAGCATTGTCGTTGGCATTTTGTTCTTTCTACTAATCATGATGCAATATTGCACTTAGGACGACTCACTGCTCGAAAATTAGCAAACGCCGTGGAGCAAAAAGCCGATCATCAACGCGAGCTTTTGGAACTTGAAAGCTGCCTGCAAGCACAAGATATTTCCGAATGGAGAATTGACATAGAGGCTTGGGAACTGGATCGCATGCAGCCAAATCCATTCAAGGTCCGAGTAGCACGTATGTGTTTTTGTTCGTTTCAATTTCTCTCCGTTGACTTTATTAGCCGAGACACAGGCTGCTATTCGTCTAGAACTCGCACGTATTGAAGCCGCAGAACTTGAGTCTGGCACAAATGTCTCCCTTCATGCAGAAGTCCCCCCCTCGGTATTAATCAGTTCCGCAATTGACCTAGAAGATCAACAGTAAGTTAACCAGCTCGTGAATTCACGAGCAAAGAACTAATGAGCACACAGACGACGTTTATCGCATGAGATAGCAGCACTCGGCGCCCATGCAACCGACCACCAACTCGCTAAGGTCCAGCTGCATGCCAATACATTACGCAGGAAAGTTGATGGGTGGCAGGAGATCCAATTGCTTTATATGCCATTCGTGTCTCGCCTACGCGCCAATGAAGATTGTGCACGCTCCTCTACGGATGCAACACCCGCTGTCAAAGCTATTAATCTGTGGCTACCATCTGCAGTCGGCCCAGACACACAGTGTCCTACTCAGCTTCATCGCTTCGAATGGATGTTACGCTACGCCCAAGCAAATGATGCGTTAAAGGACATTCGAAATCTTTTGCGTCTCCGCTCACACCTATATAAATTCAAGGATAACAACATCGTCGGCCAAGCAGCTAATACCCGCGCAAGAAGTACTATCAATAAGACCGATGTCAAAGTCAGCATGGCCGCTGAGCGTTATGAAGTTGCGAGGGCGGCGCTCACTGCTCTGGCGCAGATTCTCGATGAAGGCCCGGCCTGGCAAGATATATTCAAGCCTCTCAATCGCAACAGGGACCTGAAATCGTTGAAGGACATGTGGGAAAAGGAGACGGAGGGGACGAGACACCTGTCGTGGATCTGGAAGACACCGGGGGTGGCAGAGGACGCCAGTGTTGGCCTACATGATGGTAAGGCCTAATATTTTTCAATTTGCTTGCACTGACAGACATGCTTATGGTTAGCCCTTCGTATCGAATGGTGCAAGGCGCGCGCGCGCGCGATGCGATGGGAGGAGGAGGTCGATTTGCTGAAGGAGGAGCAACGGCGGGTCATTGCATTCCTGGACTGGCAGGCAGACTGGTGGTGGTGTCAAAGACAAGGCCGCGATTCAGAACACTTGGATGACTGCTTGAGGGAAGGTTTGAAGGCCTATGCCGAACGCCAGGCATCGCTGCGCAGGGCTTTATCGGCTCAATTTCAGGCATTGTGGACGACACCTACCCTCCCAGCAGCAACAAGCATCGACACAGCAACATTCACTGTTTGATTTTTGAGATACATGCTTGTACAGTAGTCACGTTTTATCTACTATGATGCATTTTGGCCTGCTATTCTCAGTGTGGTATGGGTGTCGGTCACCGTGAGAGGCAACAGTGGGCGTCGGTCACCGTGGGAGGCAACTATCATGCGTCGTGCATGATATCATGCAAGGCAGCGGCTGTCGTGCATGGCAAGACGCAATGCAAGACTGCGGCTGTCATGTATGGTGCCATGATTGTCATGCATGGGGTAACACTGCGGGTATCATGCAAGGCAGCGGCTGTCATGCATGGCAAGACACTATGCAAGGCGGTGGCTATCATGCATGACGGCAAGACACTACTATGCAAGACTGGGGGTGCAGCCAAGACACCATGCATGGCAAGGGACAGTGTAGCCTGATGTATACCATGCATGAATGACAGACTAGGATAGCAGTACAAGATGCATGACGTCTGTACTCTAGTAACAGTACTATCATGCATGACTACCCCACCATCAGGTGGGTCATCAATCTCTTAGGTGCCACCTATGACCTACAGCAACATACTGAAGCGTTTGTACCCAATCCACTGGTGTCGTTGTGCAGTTGACGATCAATCCCTATGACAGATACACGGGATCCCTAATCGTAGCCGTGACATACGGACACCTTTCTCACGGCTCACATCTTACCCGCGCGCACGAACTCATCGATATTGCAAAACAGATTGTTACTCCCGAGAAGACTGCCATGTTCATAGCCTTTCCTTTCTGTGAGTGCCTCTGTCGACGACATCATTATGAATATTTAGCATGAGGTTGCAGTCGAAAAGTTACCGTTTTGGTGCTTCGGTGGAGCACATTCCCAGATGGGACGCAGTAGAGAATTATCTCAACAGCTTTTGAACGAGCCCTTTAACGAAGTGAAGGCACAGATAGTACGTTTGCTCACAGTTGTGGATGAAAATCTCGCCTGATCTATTTGCGTGAAGGCAAATGGCACTGCTTCACACTCATTAATCAGTGACTTTCTCAGCCAACCTCACGATGACGCTGACGAAGATATAATGAAGGCTATTGCGTTGACAGGATTCATAGGTAAGAGTCTTTATTTACCAGGATAGAATTCATCTATTGACGGGAATTCGGCATCTTAGCTGGCATGGAAACCGTGAGTCGCCACTTGAGCAGTCCTGATTTTTACTTTGATGTCCCGCAGACTGCATCCGCATTGCAGACATTCCTGCTGGCTATGGTGCTATATCCTGACGTCCAAGCTCGGGCTCGTGCAGAAATTGATCAAGCTGTGAGGCATGATAGAATGCCGTGCCTCAACGACAGGGCGTCCCTGCCTTATCTTGATGCCATTCTCCGCGAGGTCATGAGATGGTATCCTGTCGCCCCCATAGGTTTGTCGTCAGTAATATAGCTTTGTGTTTGCATGACTTACCCCTTGCATAGGATTTCCACATACAACTTTAGATGATGATGTTTACGACGGGCATTTTATACCCAAAGGTTCGAATTGGTATCAGTCAAGGTTGCCGTTGACTCATCTGTAGTTCGATCAGGTACAGCAGTAATAGTCAATCAGTGGTATGTCAGGGTGGAGTGCATGCAACGGTTTGAGCTGAACATTGCTCAGGGCACTGTCTCGGGATGAAGACATATTTCCCGATGCATCGCGCTTCGATCCCAGTCGCCATCTAACTGTTGACGGGAAGCTGAAGAACCCTTTCGTCAACCATTTTGCCTTTGGTCACGGCAGGTGAATATTCCACACTTGCTATCATTTTAAATCATTCACTGACCCTTGCAGACGTATTTGTCCTGGTAGGCTGATCAATGATCTGGCAGTGCTGAAAATGACAAATGCTCTCGGTAGGTCGTTGGTTTGTAGAGAACAGTCTATGGACTGCGATTGCTGCCATACTCGCTGTCTTGCGCATCGATCATGCCAAAGACTCAAACGGAGACAGGATTAAAGTGAAACCAAAGTTCACCACCGGCGTGACGATGTAAGTGCCCTAGTATGCATCCAATAACCTGCGGGCTGACTCTGTCGAAGTCAGCCTGAACCATTTCACTGCTCTTTTGAAAGCGTGAGCACAGCAAGAGAAGGACAGATCCGAGCAATGATGAATTCTGAGTAGACTTAGTATGTACTACGATGAACAAGAGAATTGCTTTCGAATACATTGATTCCTCAGAAACTGTCAGGAAAAACATTGACAAACAACCCATCGCATGCAGCTCTCCGAGTCCTGGAAGAGATAATTGACCTCACACGATCTCAGACTATCGCCAGATGCAACATGCAGCGGCGACGATAAAACACAACCAATTCAGACCAGTGCTATCACTGGGATTTAGACACGGCATGAACACACTGCCAGCATGATCATCCAGGTTTCGTCGTTCTTCTCCGTCTCTTATTGTCTTATTTTTGTTCGTTTCTCTGCTTCGTTATTGTTTTCATTGCTACCCCAGAATAAAGTCATGTACCCGGATCTCTGATGGAATAAACACCTCACTCCTGCTCGCTGAAGGTTCTACGAAACACACCAGTCTTGCATAAGATCCAAGAGGAGACTCCTGCGGAGGTGGACGCCTTTGGTACCTTTTCCAAGTGGTGCCAAGGGTGGCCCGTGAACCGATCAACGATATGCAGCCTGGTTACGCCGGTTCACGAGATTTTGGAAACGGATCTATTAGTAGTTTCTGAAGAATCAATGTATTCGAAATCAATTCTCTTGTTCATCGTACAGACTAAGTCTACTCCGAATTCATCATCGCTCGAAGGTGTCCTTCTCTCGCTGTGTTAATGCTTTCAAACAAGCAGTGAAATGGTTCGGGGCGACTTTGGCAGAGTCAGCTGCAGGCGCTTGAATATATACTACACTTACATCAATGAGCCGGTAGTGAACTCCGGGTTCACCTCAATCCTGTTTCCGTCTGGGTCTTTGGCATGGTCGATGCGCAAAACAGCGAGTATGGAAGCAGCTGCAGTCCACAGACTGTACTCTACAAACCAACGACCTGCCAAGGGAATTTGTCATCCTCAACACTCCCAGATCAACCATGAATCAGCCTACCAGGACAAATACGCCTGCGAGGATCAATGAATGATTGGAAATGATAACAAGTGTGAAATATTCACCTGCCGTGACCAAAGGCAAGATGGTTGACAAAAGGGTTTTTCAGCTTCCCGTCAACAGTTAGATGGCGACTAGGATCAAAGCGCGACGCATCGGGAAATATGTCTTCATCCCGAGACAGTGCCCTGAACAGTGTTCAGCTCAACCATCGCATGTACTCCACCCTGACATACCACTGATTGACCATTACTATTGTACCTGATTGAACTACGAATGAGTCAACAACAACCTTGACACATGCGACTTCGAACCTTTGGGTATAAAGTGCCCACCGTAAACATCATCATTGGCGGTTGTATGTGCAACTCCTGTGCACATGGTTAGCCATGCAAACACAAATTTATGTTACTGTCGGCCAACCTAGGGGGACGGGAGGATGCCACCTCATGACCTCACAGAGAATGGCATCAATATAGGGCAGGGACGCCCTGTCATTAAGGCACGGCATTTTATCATGCCTCACAGCTTGATCAATTTCTGCACGAGCCCGGGCTTGGACATCAGGATAGAGCACCATAGCCAGCAGGAATGTCTGCAATACGGTTGCACTCTGCGGGACATCAAAGTAAAATCAGGACTACTCAAGTGGCGACTCACGGTTTCCATGCCAGCTAAGAAGCCGAATTCCCGTCAATAGATGAATTCTGTCCTGATAAATGAAGTCTCTTACCCATGTATGATGTGAACGCAACAGGCTTTATCGTATCTTCGTCAGCGTCATCGTGAGGTTGGCTGAGAAAGTCACTGATTAATGAGCGTGAAGCAGTGCCATTTGCCTTCACGCAAACAGATCAGGCGAAATCTTCATTCACAACTGCGCAAACGTACCATCTGTGCCTTCACTTCGTCGAAGGGCTCGTTTAAAAGCTGTTGAGATAATTCTCTAGTGCGTCCTATCAGGGAATGTGCTCCACCGAAGCACCAAGACGGCAACTTTTCGACTGCAACCTCATGCTAAATATTCAAAATGATGTCGTCGACAGAGGCACTCACGGAAAGGAAAGGCTGTGAACATGGCACCCTTTTCAGGAGTAACAACCTGTTGTGAAAGCTCAGCGAGTTCGTGCGCGCGGGCAAGATATGAGCCTTCATTGCCGTGAGCAAGGTCTCCGTATGTCACGGCTACGATTACGGTTCCCGCGTATCTGTCACAAGGATTGATCGTTAGCTGGACGATACGTCACAACGACTCAGGCACCGGTGGATTAGGTACGAACGCTTCAGCGTGGTGCTGTATGTCATCAGTGGCACCTAGTAAAAGATTGATGACCAGTCTATTTGCATGGCGAGAGTATATCTCGTGGTATGAGGCCGAGACTTCGGCCTTGAAGACTTGATGGAAAATCTTGCGATGTTGTCGTAAAGTCTCACCATACGGAAGCAGTGCAGTATTGAAATCCAGTCCAGCTCTGCGTCATCAGTGGATGAAAAACAAATTGAATGAAGACCGGCAATGCATACAATTCGTTGATGCGAAAAATGGGGCGACCAGAGTAATTTGCAGAGCGCTTTTCCAGCAAGTCCTGCGCGATGGTTTCGGAGTTTATGATGATCAAGTCGATCCCAAGTACGCGGCAGCGAATGATGTTTCCTGTGATCAGGTAGTATGAAATCGAATACAAGAAGGTTATTGGCTTGCTACCAACCATATGCCTTCCCCCACGCAGTATATGTGAGCCAAGGTCGTTTAGTATCCAATTGCAGCGCGTTGCCTAAGAATGGTAAGGGACGAGGGCCAGGTGGCAAAGGCATAGGGTAGACGCGTCTGCGAATGAGACCCAAAGGGACAACCAGGGCAATAATGCACGATATCCCTAGAGCGAGAATAGCAGAGGAGAGCATGAGAAAGGATTATGCTAGTCGAGCGCAACACATGTGTTAGTTCGTCTTATATTATTCAAATCGTCAGTTTGCTTCTTCAACATGTAAGAAACTAACACTGCGTAACCCGTTCATTACCCATTACCGCCTTAGTTATGGATGTGTTTAGAGTTCCGAATATGCGTTCCAAACAAGAAGTTCCTCCCCATCATTTGTTTAATGTAGTCTCGGGCGACTCGGATGTGTTGGATGCTATTCTCGTGCGTACCACTGTTTAGTGTAGTCTCGGGCGACTCGGATGTGTGGGATGCTATTAATCTTGTGCGTACGCTATCTCGGTTAGTGCTGCCGTGCAAGCGAGTAAACAAACTAGAACAAGTTACTAAGATGTACTTATGGTTGTTCACCTAGGTCCTAGCCGAGTTCGGCCGGTCAGACCGGTCAAGCCTGTCCAGGAAAACGGGACTTATACCTACGCGCAGCGCCAACACCTGGTGTAGTACAGGCTACTACAAGCAGTCTATACTCTGTAGAAAGGGTCAGGAAAAGGGTCAGGAACGGCTTTTCTCCTGCTATTCGAATGATATTGAATTAAGATACAGAGCAAGGAGGCAAATCGGTAGCATGGCACCCAATAGTACTTGGTGCTGATCTGTGCAAACTATTCTTCGCCAGGCGCGCTAATGATCGACTTCAACATTAATTAGAGCCACGATCCCTGTATCAATCTACGAACTCAACGCGTCGAGACCATCGGAGTTCCCTTCCAAGAGCACACTGACTTTGCTCTTGCACTCTTGTTTGACGACGTTCTCCTCGACAGTGCTTTCTATGACAAAACCATGAAGCTTTCAAGTTGGGCCGTCTGGTTCCGACAGTTCTTTGCCTCCTTCGACGGCGACCTTGTCCTGGAAGCTCTCATATTCTCACCTGACTCACTTCGACTGGCTCGCACGTTTTACGATGAATCCAATGTCTACATACACAAACCGACCTCCGCTCTACTTGCTATACAGTCTATCCCTCCCCAAAGTACGCATAGGCCCACATGAATCCATCTTTTGTGAAACTAACCTTCTCTCAAAGACCGATGCTACTCTCTAGCATTTCCTTGAGGTATGTATCCCACTATTATCATCACGTTACGCCAATTCACATGAATTATAACAGTCTGACACAACCCGTCGTCATGCCGTCGTACGCAGAATCCCAACGAGACGGCCTGTCATTGTATCATCTTTTTTTCCCAGGCATCAAATCCATTCGCCTACAAGTAGACCATCAACAACCTCTTTTCCTTCGCCATGTCCGCAAACTCTTTCACTTTACTTCTCGAACGAATCCAGTTCCTCCTCTATAGCCTCGCGATCCATGGAATGTTCGTCTAATATCTACTTATCTCGTTTTTTAGAGTTGATTTGACCGTTTCTCAGTTCCCTGCTACGTCGCCCTTGCCTCCCAGCAGCTCAGCCTCGCTACAGGCCACCACTCAGTTTGATGATGTCAGTCCTTCAGTCTTAGTATACTCGCAATGCATGACTGAGTTCGTATTCAGTTAGCAATGAACTCTCCGTCCCATATGGTCGGGCATCTCGGAGACGTTGTAAGACTATATTACAAACCACTGGCAGAATGGGATATGAATTTTGTGTGAATGTTACTATCTGAGCCTTTTGAGCTTCTAACTGAGCTTAGGCCGTCAGAGAATCCTGAAACCTACTCAGAGTCCCACCAATCTTTGGTCGAGTTACGCACGATGAACGATTTCCATTGGCCGATTATGCTACTGAGGCACTACATACTCGTAAGTGATCACGAGGTACAGAAGTCAGGAAGTCTCCATTAATTTGCGAAGTATTGATGGACATCAAGATACACGAGATTCAGATTCAGGAATCAGAATCGAAAGTGGCTGCCGCAGCACTAACCAATATAGCGTACGTACGAGAATGCAACCAACACATTGTCCGAGACTAAACTAAATAGGGATCGTAAAATCTTAAAAGTTGGACGAGAGTTTCAACTCTAAATGTACCGCTTAGACTGTGAGTTACCGGTTACCGATAGTATGGATAACGGAACTGACAAGACACTCCTCCACTAGTGTTAATGCGGGAGACAGAAACCAAGGACTTATCGATTTACTGATGCGGATCGCAGGTGGGGCATTCCATAAATTGTTGTCCTCACATTTTGTATAAAAGGGACACTGCACGCCTTTTATCCTCAGCCCCCCTGCAGTTCATAGGCTCTATCACTGTTCATCAGAAATAGGAGGCCATGGAAACTCGCCCAAAGATGTTTTACCTCCCAGATACCATGGCCAACTGGCCGTGGCCTCGCATAATCAGCCCTCATTATGAAGCTGTGAAAATTGAAGCTGAGGCTTGGTTTCGTAGCTTCAAAGCTGTGGATCCTGACACATTGAAAGAATTCAACAAGTGCGATCCAGGTTCGAGCTATGTTACTACCTCTAAAGATCGTTGACGCGTATCATTCTTATAGCTCTCGTAGTAGCACTGTGTTATCCCACTGTGTCAAAAGGTCCGTATTCAACCCCTGGCGCGCACGACTGACCCTTGATTTTATTCTTGCAATGTAGAACATCTTCAAGTCATTTGCGAAATGATGAATATGACCGTAATTATAGAGGACACCACCGATAAAAGCACTGCAGCGGGCGCCAGAGGAATAGTGGACATCGTCCTCGATGCCTCACACAATCCGCATAAGACCAGACCAAAAGGTGAACACATCATTGGAGAAATGATGCGACAGTAAGCACCCCCTGCTTGTTTGATGATGCATCTGAATTTTATGTAGATCTTCGGCTCGTATGGTACAGACCATGAGCATGACTTGTCATTCCCGCTTTGTCGATGGCTTGGCAACATACCTTCGTGCAGTAGCTGTCGAGGCCATCGACCGTGAACAAAGACGTTGTCTCAGTATCGATGGCAATTTCAAGTATCGACGGGAAACATCTGGCATATTACCTTGGCTCGGACTATGTGCAATGGATGTCGATCTTCCTGATGAAGTATTCTACCATCCTGCTATCGTGGATATAGTGGAATGCGCCGCAGATTTGATTACAGTTGATAATGTAAAGTCACACAAAAAACTTAGTTTCCGGTATCCTAACGGCCTTCACAGGATATGCTCTCGTACAATAAAGAACAAGCGAGCGGGATCGACCACAATTCACTGATAACTGCGGTCATGCTAGAACTTGGCCTTGACATAGGCAGTGCGATGGGTTGGGCAGCCGCTTATCACACTAAACTCGAGGAAAGATTTACCAACGGTCTTGCAAATCTTCCTTCATGGGGTCCTTCCACCGATATCCTGGTCAAGGAATACCTTGATGGACTAGCAAACTGGGTGCGAGGACATTATTGTTGGAGTATCGAAGTTGAAAGGTCCTAAGAATTTCAGTGGTATGGATTGTCACTTACGATGATTTAATTTGCAGGTACTTTGGCACACTGGCAATGGCTGCGGAGACACAGCAAACTAGGCTTGTCCCATTATCGCCAAGTGTTCAATGGAAAGCCACTGGCGAAGGATCGCACCAATTGCCGCCGCAGTCAGTAACGGGGTCTCTCCTTTCGTTTATTATGTCCTTTGTCTACAATAAATAACAGGAATGTATGTACTATGTATCATAACAGCACTTACGCACCATGCCCCGAAATTTCTCCTCTTATCGAATTTATTTGTCTTTGAGCTTGAAACGAACGTTGCCCTATTAGCTAAAAAAAACTGAGTGCTTTTTTCGACCAACCCGATCAGGGTGGGGTACTGTTAGGTATCGCAACAGCACTCACGCACCAATCGCACGTACAAGAAAAGATTGGAAAAATCTTCAGCGACATCACGCCCCCTGAAATCAAAAGATCAATTAGGCAATCGAGCGCAGAAAGCACAGAACACCCCACAATCCTACATACTAGTACATACTAAGTGATTAGCTAAGATGATCTGGGATTGCGGACAGAAGTCAGGAAGCCTCTATTACATAATACAGCGCATGGATCTAGATATAACTTATAAGGAACCGAGGAACGTCTTTGTCAGTGTACGTCATGATCCATCATTTAGCACTAAGCTAAGGCGGGCAGCACACGAAGATTCGTCGAAGAAGCAAGTTACCGGTCTTAGTATATGAAGACAACCAACATGTCTGGGTGCGACTATAATCCCTTCCCATGCTCTCCACTGCTACTCTCGCTCTAGGGATATCGTGCGTTATTGCCCTGGGTGTCGCTTCGGGCCTCATTCGTAGACGTGTCTACCCTTTACCTCTGCCACCTGGCCCTCGTCCGATACCATTTTTGGGCAACGTGCTACAATTGGATACTAAACGACCTTGGCTCACATATACTGCGTGGGGAAAGATATATGGTTGGTAGCAGGCCAATAGCCTTTTTGCAAAGTTCTTGTACTCAATTTCATACCTAATCATAGGAAACATCATTCGCTGCCGCGTACTTGGGATCGACTTGATCATCATAAACTCCGAAACCATCGCGCAGGACTTGCTGGACAAACGTTCTGCAAATTACTCTAGTCGCCCCGTTTTTCACGCCAACGAAAAGTATGCATTGCCGGTCTTCATTCAATTTATTTTTCATCTACTGATGACGCAGAGCTGGAGTGGCTCTCCTTACTCCAATGTATCCGTATGGTGAGACTTTACGACAACATCGCAGGATCTTCCATCAAGTCCTCAAGGCCGAAGCCTCGGTGTCATACCACGAGATATACTCTCGCCATGCAAATAGACTAGTCGTCAATCTTTTAGGTGGCACTGTTGACATACAGCACTACGCTGAAGCGTTCGTACATATTCCACTGGTGTCGTTGTGATGTATGGTCCAGCTAACGATCAATCCTTGTGACAGATACGCGGGAAGCATAATCGTAGCCGTGACATACGGACACCTTGCTCACGGCAATGAAAGCTCATATCTTACTGACGCGCACGAACTCGTTCGTATTGTAAAACAGATTGTTACTCCTGAGAAGGCTGCCATGTTCACAACCTTTCCTTTTCGTGAGTGCCTCTGTCGTCGACATCATTTTGAATATTTAGCATGACGTTGCAGTCGAAAAGTTACCGTCTTGGTGCTTCGGTGTACATTCCCTGATAGAACGCAGTAGAGAATTATCTCAACAGCTTTTGAATGAGCCCTTCGACGACGTGAAGGCACAAGTGGTACGTTTACGCAGTTGTAATGAAAATTTTGCCTGATCTGTTTGCGTGAAGGCAAATGGCACTGCTTCGCACTCATTAATCAGTGACTTTCTCA